AATGAAATCTATATTAAAATAAACTACAGTAGTATACTGATGAATTTGATTTTTTATAGTAATTTACTGTACAATGGTACAGTTTGCTACTGTAAATCAAATACAGTGTGCTACTGTAAACCTTAATTACAGTAACTTACTGGTAACAGTGTTGCCAGTAAGTTACTGTAAAAACCCTTTGAAATGTCTAAGAGTGTACACTCACCAAGGCTGCATTTATTTAATCAAAAATGACAGCAATATTGTAAAATAGTATTACAATTTAAAATAACTCTTTTATGTTTTAATATGTTTAAAAATGTAATTTATTCCTGTGATGGCAAAGCTGAATTTTCAGCAGCCATTACTCCGGTCTTCAGTGTCACATGATCCTTCAGAAATCATTCTAATATGTTAATTTGGTGCTCAAGGAAAAACAAACTGTTAAAAACAGTTGTGCATTTATTTGAAATAGATATCTTGTGTAACACTATCAGTGTCATTTATAATCAATCTTTAACAAAATTCTTACTGAACCTTAATTCTTATTTTAAGAATTAAGGTTCAAAAATAAGAATTCTTATTTTTGATGAGTCATACTTGTATAAAACATTTTAATCTTACAACAAATGATACATGTATCACAAATGTGGGAGGGACAATCTGAATTTTAGCTTTTTAACTTTTTTTTTTTTTTGCAAAAATTATTTAAATGTTGGATATTTTAAATAACAATAAATGTCAGACCCTCTGCAATAACACTGTGGACCAGTTGCCAACACCCTGGATTATGTCCCGATAATTAAAAAGACATGTCAGGACCACAACTTTGTACTTTTCTTGGAAGTCAGTAAAGGCCCCCACTACTGACTGTTACTGGCTGGTAGTATGTCATAAAATCTGTTCCTGGAATACAGAAGCAGCATCTCAAACACATTGTTTTGGCAGATTCCGTTTGAAGGACAGGTGTGTGCCACACAACAGGCAGCAGGTTTAACAGAAGATTTATAGATTTTAATCACATTGTAATGTTGAGAAATAATTATGCCCCAAGGCTACAGGAAAGAGTGTGGTTGATGAGTGGATATTGAGTGTAGATCTAATGAAATAAGTCAACAGAAAGCAAATTAGTCAAACACAAATGTACATTTGTGATAATCGGTGATTACTGACCTGTTGCTGTAACAAATCAGAGGCAATGTGCACCTGTGTGAAACAAATTGATGTCTTTGTAGACTTTTTTTTTTTTCATTAATTGTGCTCTCATCTGTCTGCCTACATCCTTTCGTAATGAATTATTTTTATGTATGGCTGTAGGCCAAATCTGAACAAAAACAACAGCAACAAATCTTTATCTCTGTTATATCCTTTGAATGAATTTTCCACTTTTATTTTGAATCAAATAACTAATCAGCTTACTGTGAAATATATGGGAGGAGAAGGCAGCTTTAAATATAATATTCATAACAGAGGTGCATATCACGGGACAGACATTTTTCATTTGTAAATTGCTTTGTGTCTGCTAAACGAATAAATGCTGACAACTGACTGCAGCCACAGAAGACATTTTTTATATATAAATAAAAGCCTAAACAGAACGATATTCTACAGACTTTAATTGATATTTTAAGGTATATTTCAATTTCCAGAGAGACATCAGTGATTGTAAATTGTTGTTTGGGTGGAAAACATAAAATCTCCATACAGATCGGCCAAAAAATAAACCCCGGAGCATTTCCAAATGGTAAAATAAGCAGTTGGTAATTTGCATCATTACATCAGTGAGAGGGTGTAGAGTTTTCAACCAAAGCCAGCTTTCCTTAAATTTGCTTTGTTGTTAGGTTTTGTAAGACTGAGTGTTCCTTGTGTTTCTTTTGGCACATTTAAAGCAGACGGTACAAAGTAGAACAAGTTCTTCTTCCCTACTTTCACCTGCCACTGCTGGTCGACTGGCATGGAAATGCATACGATATGCCACGGAATCTATGCACTGCTGCATAAAAACTGTAGCAAAATAAGCAAGGATATATGTCATATGCAAATATATCATTAGCAGAATACATACCTTTCTGTTACAATAACTTTCATTTTCTGCTGTTAATATGCGTGTGAATAATGTTTATCTTTCTATTTTTTCCAAGAAACATTTATGGTTCACAGGCCAACAGAAATTATCATGACTCATCTCACATATAAATGCAATAGTGCAAATGATTCTTTGGTGTGCTGAATAATGGCATGTGTTTTGCATGTTACATTAACAAAGGAATTGCCTTAGTAATAAATCCACAGATTACGTACTATATCAATTTCTTCATCTGAAGAGGAAATTCCCTTGGGCAAGCATTTGCTTGAGGGCTCATTCTCTACACTGAATTGAAGCTTCTGCTCGCACACATGAAACAGAATGTAGGAACGAAAGTCATGGAACCCAGATTTGATTAATTCTTAAAAAATGGAATTCCGTGATCTCCTGGGGTGTGTTGTGAGCTGTTATGCAAAACAGTTGTTATATGATCTGAGCTGAGCTCTTCATGGTAAACTTCTACCTGCTTAAAGGTTCCCTAAAGTCAGTAAAGACTGTCAGAAACAACCATGAATTCTTTTTTTCCTGACAGGATAACTGATTTACTGATACAACATGTCTGTTGGTGACCTTAACAACTTGGTGAAAGTTGCCAAACAAAGTTCTCCATCATGTAGACATTTTATTTGGATATCTTTTTTTATGGATATCTTGAAAGTACAAACACACATGCATGCACACAACTGCTGCTCTAGAAAATGCTCCGGGCCGTAAACTCCACTAACAGAATCAAGTGTCAGAAACTGTTCAGTTTGTCTGAATCAAAGGTTTTAATATATATATATTTTTGTTATTATTATATATCTTTCCTGTTTTCTTATGTTAAACATGCATTGTAATCATCTACAAAGAGAGTATTTGTACACTTAAGCAACACTAAGACACCTAAATTGTATTAAACCCTAGGTTGTTTAATTATAGGCATATTTAAATTTTTTTTGCTTAATTTCATTTTTTAATTATATCTTCAAGAAACAGCTAAAAACACATCTCTTCAATCTACACGACCCTTTGAACACAAGCACTAAAAAACTTGACCTTCTAAAACTTGCACTCTCTATTCTATTTTTATTTTACTACTTGTTTTATTTTTATTAAAAAAAGACCCTCTAACACAAGCATTCTCTATTCTTTTTCTGTTCCATCTGCTTGTTTTCTTTTTATTTATTATTGAAAAAACAAAATGTGTACTGCGTTACACTAACCGAGACTTTTCACAGCATTTACATATTATTACTGTTTTGTCGGTTTTGATTGCTTCTATTGTCCTCAATTGTAAGTCGCTTTGGATAAAAGTGTCTGCTAAATGACTAAATGTAAATGTAAATACTGTATCTGTGACAAAATATTTTCAAATTAATAATTGAAAAAGGAAATTAAGGTTGTTGCAGTTTTATCACAATACCAAAAATACCAGTAAATTTTCACAGTTCTCCATACCATGATCAAAATGGCATGACAAAAAAATATTGGAACACTCCTTTTAACAAATTAAGTTTTTATTTAATAAAAGTGTATTTAAATTATTATTAATTCTAATTCAAACACATAGTCTTCCAAAAAAATTCAGTTAAATAAACATTGTTTTAAAAAGGTCAAGTAAAAAGTCAGTAATGAAGTAATAAAATCCACAAATCTATTTCGACATATTAGATTTTATTTTTTTTGTCCCATCCGTTGCAATCTCTACAATAGTGGTTATCACTATGCCAGTGTCAATCATTGCAATTTCGTGAATTACTTGACTCATGGAAAGATAATTTAGCAGATTCACTCCAGTGTTGAAATGTAGTTGTCATCCCCAAAACTTGGCAGAGCATAAGTTGGCTGTTGGTCCTTGAAAAACAAAACATTTATTCAAATCATGAATGGGATATATACAGAAAGCTTGCAAAAGCACTTCCTTTATAGTCATCCACTCACTGTGTTTCAGCATGACTGCAAAAACGAATGTTATAATCTGGCATAGACCTTAGTAGAGCTGTAGTAAATCACAGTATGTTTATATTTGACAACCAGAACATTTATATTACATATATATAAATAGTATATTTATTGTTTTAGAATTTCAAACCTACACGTCTATGAATTGTTTTGAAACGCATATATGTCCAAATGCTTTTTTGAAGCCACATATTTAAGAATAATGAAATTCCCATCATCTCAGTGTCTACACATGAATGTAATGGAAATCATATAGCAGAACATGAAGGAATCTGTTAACTATTAATCACCGTCTGGCTGTATCAATTTTCTGTTAACTAAACAAAAATATCAAGCTCTTATCTCGAGCAGCTAATGTGCTGTCTTACAACATATCTCTCACGTCATCATCACATGAATACAAATGCTGACAAATTTTAAGTATATTTGAAGCACTGCCAAAAACCATGGGCTCAGCAGTAGCCTACATAATACGAAGTGAAAGTCTCAAGAGAAAAAAAGGGAGGAGTGATGACAGTTAGAGTGACCTGGTGAAACGTTCTAGTTCTTTCAAGGTCATCTCTTTTTTTTCCCCCATGGACACTAAATCTGAGATAAAGTTTGATTTTAATAAAATTAAAAGGGATTTGTTTTTAATAAAATACAGATTTTTTTTAAATAACATTATTCAACTGAATAACATAAGTCAGTTTTATTTTAAATACATTTTATTTAAAAAAGAAGCAATATACACCCTTAAAGACCTCATAGTAAAATAAAATACTAAAATACACTCCAACATTCACACATACCCGACTTTACAACTATACATAAAACACATAAAATGCAAAAACTGACGGTATCATATGACAATACCAGCATACAGCAGAAGAAAATCTGCTTCACCATATGTATTTTCACTGGAGTTTCTCTGCCCACATAAGAAGTGATTCATCTGTTCTGTTTCATTACAGGTGCTTGAATTCAGTGTCAGTAATATGAGTAAGAATTAGATAGGTGCGTAAAAAAGCTGACCCCAGGTCAGAGCTGCTGGTAACAGGGGCCTTTGCTAGAGTCAGCCTGTCATATCTCATGCTGACTAGGCCATTCCTGTGGGAATTCATTCGAATCTAGTGCCCACAGAACTCAAAGGAGTTCAGTTAGGTCAAAAGCAGTGTATAGTTTCAGGAAAACAACCGTTTTTTCTTGCCCCCAGAGTCTGTGGTGTGAATTGATCATTCTGTTTTTTCTGTTTTGGCTGTCACCCGCTTCCCTTCCTACACCTCTGTTCCCTCCCGAGGGTAAAGAATGCCTGTCGAGCTCAAACCAGGGTAGAAATGCCCATTAAACTGACTGAGAGCAGGCCCGCTGTAGCCTAAAGCAGAATGGGAGGGTGATGGGGAAATGTGGGGAGGTGGGGGCAAAGGTGATGCCCACTCGGACACCGTGGAGCTGGGGGAGTAAGTGCCAAACCCTGCGGGTTGTGAAGCTCTCTGTGCTCCGTCCACTGGCAGACTGAGTGCAAAGGGACGACTCAGGGGATCTCCTTCCATGTCGAGAGAACCAGCTACACCAGACATCTCAGTCAGGAAGTTGCTCAAGCATGGTGACGGACCCGTGGATGCGGGTGAAGGGCCCTTTTCAGGTGAAGTGGAAATGTCAACAGCTTGATTTTTTGGGCTGCCCCTGCCATTACTGTCTCCTGACTCAGAATTCAGATTCCCTCCAGAAGTGCTCTTCTCTGGGAGAATGTCAGACTTTCTCTTCCTCTTGCGTCTGAAGTTGCCGTTGTCAAACATTTTTTCACAATTCGGATCTAAGGTCCAGTAATTTCCCTTACCTTTAAAATGAGAGATAAATTGCACATTAAATACAGTTAGATTATCAAAAACATCTAGTTATTATATAGTACTATTAATTATTTATTAAAAATTATAAAAAATAAAAACTTTATTGAAATATATTGCTAAATTAAATCTAATATTAAAATGAATAAAATAAACTTTTATATTTATATAAATAATATTTAACTAAGAATTACTGTGTAATGTGTGTATAGTTTATTATTAAGACTATATCATTTTAGTTGTAAAGAGTTTTTAACTTGATTTAATAAATGAGAATCAAAGAGACAAAAACACTCACCTGGATCATCTTCATCTCGTGGAACCTTTTTGAAACAGTCGTTTAGTGAGAGGTTGTGACGAATAGAGTTTTGCCATCCTGCTTTGCTCTTGTTATAAAAAGGGAAGTTGTCTGCAACGTACTGATAAATCTGACTTAGAGTGAGGCGGCGATCTGGGGCACCGTGTATGGCCATCGCAATAAGAGCTGAGTATGAATAAGGTGGCCTGACCAGCTTCATAAGATCCTCTTGAGAAGGCATGGAGAACCAGCTCAGTTCACCACCAGGACCACCTGGTCCCCCAGGTCCCAAATAGGGCCTTTGTACGCCATAGTGCTGGGGCACAAAAGGAGGTCCTGCAGGGCCAGGCGTTCCACCCAGATAAGGAGTGCTGTTCATCCCTGGGCTGTTGAACCACAGGTAGGGGTTAGGCGATGAGGCGGCGTAGTCTCCGAGTTCGTATGAGGAAGGATTTGTTCGCTGTGGACTCGGCAGTGATGGTGGTGGATAGTAGCTGTCGCTGTACAGACTCAATTCTGGAGGCTCCTGCCCCAAGCTTGGGAACTGAGGGCCACATCTCGTCGGAGACTCACCTTGAGATTCATAGGATGTCATTGCTTAGTGATCCTGATGTGTTCCACTTGGAAAGTCTTTCTCTCTCCTTCTCTTACTCTCTAATGACCTGTTCTTCTTTTTTTACCTTATGGTCCAGGAATATTTTCAGGAACTCTAAAACGTTTCCAGCTGGAGTTGTCCTGCATGTGTCCTCTCTTAGTGCTTCCTTCTGCTGTTTCAACATCATCGTCTGTTGCACCTGTTTTATTTATGCATATGTAGCACCGCCTAAGTCCCACCTTATTGAAACTTTCCACGTGTTTAGGCTCTTCCTGACACAACCCTCATAACCACCCACCCACCCATCCACAAACCAGCAGCACCACCATCACCTGAAGGCATTTACAGGGTTTATCCTGACACACTGGAATTTTCTGTTACAACCACCTAAAACTCCTGAAAATATATTCTTTGAAACCTTTTTTTTTTCATAACTTTAACATCTCAAAATATTTTATGAACAACAAGCACTTACTTATTGACGGAAAAGTTTCAGTTCCAGCTTTTATTTGTAAGTAGAATGGTGTTTACATACTTCTCATTCAACCGTTATGTGTAGAACCACCACCATCAAATCATTTCCCTTATCGAAATTGTTGGTTGTAATTAATGAAAGCATGCAGAAACATTTTTAGCTAAGAGTGCTTAATATATAGTGCAAACTGTATTGCATTGTATTATTATATAACATTTATTTATATGTGTTCATTCATTCATTTATTTAGCTGGTCACGCCGGGACGTCAGAGATGACGTCATGATGTCGAAGAATCGATTAATCGTTTTATAAATATTTTCTTTGAAACGAACACTTTTAAAGAACCGATTCGTGTAAATAAATCGGATGTCCCATTACTACAATCACGCTGATTCTTTAAAGGAAAGCTAAATTTATAGGCGATTGTATTTAAGAGAGCCGTTAAACGTATGTGCCGCGTGCCTTGCTCGACTCCAGTAACTGTCAGCAGTCGCAATAAAACACGAAACATTAAAAATTGTCTGCAGTTCACTACATTTCCAAGGTAGTTTGCTTAAGTTATGAGTTTCTATTCACACTACATGTATATTCATTTTATTGGCGTAATTTAAAGTAACGTCTCTTTGGCCTGAGGTAAGTTAACGTTACATTTGAATGACAGAAAACGGATGAACGAAAAACGAGTAGAATTGATTATGTACGTGTAAAACTTGGTCTTATTGATTTAATCGTGAAAATATAACTAATTTAACGTTTAGGATTAAGAAACAACAATCCAGCGGGAGTTATGGAGTTTGCTGGTTTTTAGATGTCTGACGATATTTCGAGTGTCCAATCATGTGAGGACTTCAGTCGTGAGAGGTTACAACTGAATCAACATTTGGAGAAGATGACTGAACAAATGGAGAATCTTTCAGGTAACGTTAGATAGCAAACAAATACTGCTTTGACTATAATAATAATGCTGTGAATGAAAAATCGACTGTGCTAATAATCATTTTCTTTGTCCTCAGTGAAGTTGTCTCGGATGGCCTATGATATGGTTGTGCTCCGAACCAGTCCAGATCCTGCTGAATCCCTCAAGTGCCTGGAGAATGAGTTCCTTAAGTGCAAAGCTGTCATTTGTGGTCCCACAGATGGACAATATAAAAAAGCTCATCCTGCTGCTGAAGAACCTAATATTCCCCAAGAAAAGTTTCAAATGAGTTTCAAATGTAGAACAGAGGCATCTAATAGGATGATGTTGTTAAAACTAATTGAGTTAGATCTGCCAGAGTTGTTTGGTGCCACCATATTTGTAATTTAACATGGTTTTATTCCCTCATACAAATGAATAAAAATATCAACAAAGCAGCCATGCTTATTGTGAATCTGATTAATCCAATTCATTAAAATGCAAAAAAAGGGGCTTCTGAATGTTTTCCTCATTGCATCATTTTGTATGCAGATGTTTGTGTTCTTCCAAATGAGTTTAGTGATTTATTGTGTTTACACTTTTGGAAAAAGTTCCTAAACCTTTAGACAAATTTATTAGAATTATTTGAGCTTCATGAGGATTGTAAAATGTGTTGCATCTAGCATGCTACCGAAAACGCTGTTCCACTTTTAGATCTTATTGTGTTGTGTCATCCATTTAAGACAGAAAGAGAAATGGTAATACATAATTATCCTTACCTCTGTGTGTAATGGACTTACAGATGGAGTCTGAGGGAAATTCCCCCGAGAACAGTGACCATGGGGCCTCAGATGGCCTGGATTACATCCTGAAGCAGTTGGATTTAATGTCGGAATTGATTGACCAATTGGAAGGTAAATTTACTATGTTACAAGTTTTTTTTGTTAGCATAATTCAGTGACTGTTAGTGACTGTTGGACCTAATCCCAACCTTATTTTCTTAGATTTTTCAACAGCATTGTAAAATTACCTTACGATATGTAATAATAATAATAATATACAGTTTGAAAAGTCGTCTCCGCACACTCATGTTTTGACAATTCTGAAATGTGCTGGCAGTTTAATAGTTCCTCTTTTTTTGAGTGTTGGCAGAAATTCTTCTGGTGACTTTGAAATGTATATTGCATGAACACATTTAGAAAATAGAAAATGTGGCACCCTTGCCAAGGGTGGCAGTTAACGAGGAGTCGGCGCTAAAACATTAATCTGTGCCCGCCGTCAATGCTAACACAAACATATCAGCACTCAGAACATCCCGCAAATCCTCCAGGGCTGTCAATAATGAGTTTTATTATGTCATAGAGACATTAGGTTTGGCAAGAAAACATGTTGGCTACATCTATTGCTGAGCCCTGGATATCCAGTTAAGTAGGACTAAACATCATTGAATATTTCGACAGTTACTTGTGGATTAGCTCTTCTATAGTCGTATCAAAACCTGCTATAGCCGTATTTTAGATTGATTACTGAAAAATGATAATGTACTGATAGATTTTCCTTTTGGGTGTACGTTAACAGTAATCTTTGCATAATACATAACAGAATGCTTCCATTTATGCACTTTGATTACAGTAAACATAACCTGTTGGTGCTGGTTATGTTTCAGTCACTCAGAATGGAATGAGAGGGTCTCTTCTTGCGTTCGTCTTGCTATATGTTCAACCACTACACTCTTTGTTTTCAGTGAAGATCCAGCTGCTGCAGTGTAACCTGACCGTGTGTTTCACACACCCTGATAACATGGCTTGTCTCCAGGCTGACGTGGGAACCCCAACATGGTTAAGCCATCAACAGACGATGGAAGACTAAATATGTAACTCAAGAAAAGTGCTTTTTCACTTAAACATCACAATTTATTAGAACACATTAAGTTCAAACACTAAAAGCATTAGGAATATTTAATTTGGAACAGACGAATGTACATTTTCAGAGTTGATAATAGTAAGTAAACTTGCCTCTAGCTAACATTAAGTCTAAAAATGCCTCTTGATTTTAACATTGAAAGTGTTTAAAAATTCATCTTCAATTTAAAAAGTGTAGACAGTCATGTCTGATCCAATTAAACTGAATATGATTTATTCATTTAGTCATGCACTTCATTTTTCAGTGCTTAGATATCCTGGTGTTGATTGCCAACATTGCAATTGCGCCATTTCACAGACAAAGTGTCTGAATTCCATCAAAGTCTGTTAGCTACGTATATAGATTGCTCTTCTGCATTGTGGGTCAGAAACCTGCCGGGTGCATGAGGCAGCACTGCCGATGAAGTCCGGCTCCACGCTCCATTCCATCTATCAGAATCAGTGGGGTCTTCATATGGTGCGTGACCATGTCCATGACACTGGAGAAATTCTGGGACACACATAGAGTCGATTAATTGAGGGAATCTCACAGAACCAATAAAAATCACCACTGCTGATAATCTAAAACATAGTATTCACTCTAATTAACCCTAGTTAACCCTATAAAGCCTACTGTATCATATTTGATACACAACTTTCTAAGGCCTCCAATTTATCAACATGATCAAAACTGTTGTACAGAATCTGCTACATGCCTTCTGTCATCTAATTGATCATTTATGTTTTAGTTTTTTTTTTTCAACAAGCAAAAGGCCTTCTAAATAAGTATATAAGTATAATTCTAAAAAACATCTCCTTCAGGTTGTGGTTAACGTCTTTTTGCTGTGAAATCTTTACTGATTTTCATAAAGTATATGTATGAGCAACTTTTATACTGTTAGTAATATTTCAAGATGAACACTTACTATACTGAAGCAACTTAATCTTGATTTGATTATCTGTACTTTTTTATTTATTTTTTTACGTGTATCAAATATGATGAGGAACATTTATTTGTATGTCTCTTAATAATCTTTGTATTGCATATCTTTGTATATCGATAAATCATTACGGAGACATTATAGAGTAACAGCATAATACTTACATAAAAATGCTTTTAATATTAGTCATGTAACAAATATCTCATTTAATTACATTACAAGCTGTCAGAATTTTTGCTTACTTTTTGATCATTTAAATATCAGCAACTGCACCAAATTGCATATTTTCGCTCTGTTCGGGCCTCTGATTAAAATTAAGGCATTTTTCCCACCTTGAGTATAAGCTTTATATTCTCCTATATCACTACTGTCATACTATACGAGCCATAAAAGCCTGACGTATCAAATGTGATACTCAACAATATAAACACATATGCAAACCTTTTTTTTATGTCTGATAAACTGTTCCATTTTTTCAAAATGTGATTTTTCTGACTATTATTTTATACGCCAGACTTTACAGGGTTAATCAGGACCTCATTCATGACTGACGTTTCTGTCAGAATCAACAGATGCCATTACCTCAACACCATTTAGGCCCTTGCCCAGGGAATATCCATCGCTGTTTCCAAGGAAACGGATCTGGATGTTGTACACTTTTTGCTGGTGCAGCACCATGAGTGTGTATGGCTGCTCTGTGCAGCCCTTTGAACTGTCTCTCACCAAGAAAGTGCCATCCTAAAAAAGACGCAATGTATGTGTGTCTTCATACTTTACGTTCTCTATTTTTTGCTCTCTCTGTTTTGTCTTTCTCTTTATATACAAAGGCCTGAATTTTTTGTTGTGTCTTTAAATTACAAATGAATTCTCAAAGGTTTTTTTATTCACATTTTCTAAGAATTGTTTGAAGGCAGGGGTGCATTTTAGATCATTTTAAAACGTTCTAGTGGTGGAACTCACTCTATTCATTTGTCTGAGTGAGACTTCGGCCTCTGCTCGTGACATTTGCCCGACATACCACTGTGGATCCATGTCCTGAGTGCATAAAAATCATTCAGCCTTTACACTGTGGACTAGCATGTGTTCGCTTTTATTATTACAGCAGAAAACACATTTTGATTGAGAATAATGCATGTAAGGCATGTAAGCAATACTAGGCTTAACTTTCTTTTGTTTAGCTTCATCGCTATGATTGAAAACAATGCACAAGGCATGTAAGCAATACTAGGCTTCAATTTCTTTTGTTTAGCGTCATTGTTAAACAAACCACAAGACCACGTGTAACAACAGTGCCATCTTGTGGTTGTCCAGTCTAATTGCGTGTTTTAAATTTCTGGATGTTTGTGGGATTGTGAGATGCTTGTTGTCATGTTTATTATTGGTAATGTGATTGTACTCACGTGCCCCATCACTTCTACAGGTGGAGGAGGAAGCTCATCCCTCTGTTGAATATTAAATCTGTGTTGGAGATTGAAAAATATGTAGGTACTATACTGCTCTTTGACTTTAAAAGAATGAATGCAAGTTGTTGATAAAGATACTCACCTTTTTGTGGGTAAAGTTGCTGATTTCGAAGCCATTTGTAAGGTGTTTTGGTTTATTGCTGTAAGGATAAAAATTAAATTGTTTAAGTTAAAACAAATGTTTAGTGAAATGACCATACAATACAAAAGGTAATACAAATACAAAAATAATGGTACCTGATTATTTGCCAATACCTTTTTTTGACGGAGTAGATGAGCCAGGTTTCTTACTCCGATCTACCATTGGCGCACCAGGTTTGCCTGTGGATATGATTTGCAGAACGTTCAGCGATCATGCTTTCATATTAGAGGGATTTGAAATTGAACTCACTTACATTGAGTGGGGGGAATGAAAGGCCTGTGTGGAGAGGGATCCGGTCGTGATGGAGGCTTAGATGTCTGAAAGTAAAGACAGTCATCTTATGCACAACCCTATAGTTACAGCATTTACAGTAAAAAGAGTCATTAAGATATATTTATACAAAAAAAATCTTTACTTACATTCAAAAGTCCTCTGGAAAGAGATGCTGACTTGTAGTTCTGCTGTGGTCTTGCAGAACCACGTGGGCCGCTGTCTACACACCGCCACATGACAGAATGGGTGAGTGAATCTTACTAATTGAGATACATGGATTCTTTCATTTATGTACATATTAGTGATTTGTGTTAGTATTGTTAATTACCCAAATAATCACCATCACCAAGAGGCTTAGCGACACGAAAGTGAGACGGTAATTCAGAAGGTGTTTCAGATGGAGGTGGTTCATAGTCATCAGCAGCATTCTCATCATCCTCAATATCACATGATGCTGCGCATATGTAATTGTCTTCACACTCATTACTATTATCTGGCTCCTCATAGTCGTTGTCACTTCCTTCTTGGTCCTGGAAATATAGATAAACATTTTGCATTTAATACTAAGTTCCAAAAAAGTGTTGAGAGGAACTTTTAAACAGTATAACATGGGGACTTACGAATTCATCAGAATCCCAACCTCCTGGATTAGGTTCTGCATTTTTTTATTTTTTTTTTCAAATAAAATAATGTAGAGACATTTTAGGTAGTGCGCATAATGGGTTAAGTAGTGTAACCGCAGTTGTTTATGTAACTGCACAAGAGTTACCTTGGTTTGGAGGCATCCGATGATCTGATCTAGTCAAGGCAAAGGATTAAAAATGACAAACTCTCATGCATGTAGAGACAGTTCAGCTTTGTTTATGAAGTGTTTTAAAGCGTGATCTTGCTTACCTATGAAATAGACTCTTTTGTTTGTTATTCTGATTAATATCTCTGCAGATCTTTGTGATAAATCTTCCAAATAGAAAAACAGAAGTAAATAAATATAGAGCAATGTAACAAGAGAAAGATTATCACAGGCTCAACAGACTATTTTGAATATGTATTATAAACCAGTATTTGGAGGCAAGTTTAATATACAGATACATTGCGTAAACAGTCTTACTGGTGATTTTTAGGTGACTCAGAATTCTGTCTGCATGCAGGCTCTTTTTTGTCTTGTATTGGACAGTTGCTATATTAGTGTTTCTGTAGCCCAAACAATAGAGCATGGTGCTAGCAATGCCAAGACCATGGGTTTGAATCCCAACTAATATAATGATCTAATGCAATTTCCAGCCAGTGCAAGTTGCTTCAGATAGACGTCTGCCAATGCAGACATAGCAGAGCCAGAAGGCACATGCCCTTTATCCCAGCCAATATCTTTAGTTTATACTTTTTTTTACCATATCTGGGAGATTTTTGTTCTTGATGCTGAGCTTAAAACTCACGGTATATGTGCTGCAGGGAACTTCTTAAGGTCCTTATCAGTCATGTTCTAGAATAAGATAGAAACAGGAATTATTTGTTCTATGTTGTGATTTGGCTTGTCTGAGCGTACTTTTATGTGAAAGTCTGTTAGATTTTCACCAAAAATGTTTCAAGAAGGTTGTGTCTTTTTCTTTAGAGTGCAAGTAGAACATCCGTTTACATTGCCTAACATTCTTTTTGCCATTAGTAGTAATAATCCAGTGAGATATTTGTATGCACAAGGAGCCCAACAACAGACGGTTTGGCCTACACAGAGATCTGGTCTCACCATCTTTGAGTCCATAATTGAGTGATACAAAAATATCAGATTATTAATATTAATTCAAATGTAAACACATATTTCCTACTGGCTCACTAAAGCAAACAATATATGTCTCTCTTTTTTTTGGTGAAGAATCTAATGTACTTACAGCCTTTGCACAAGTATACCGTTTATTGATGGTTATATACAGTACAATGTAGTGCATGCAGTACAGTTTAAATTGGAAGTAAAATTGGTCTGAGTTTTAGTGTTTTTATCATAGAGACAAAACAAATTTACCAAGAATGTTGCACCACTCATATTGTTTTTCTTCACCACTCTGTCACACCCCAATAGTTTCATCTGAAAGCAGAAAAAAAAGTGTGATGGCTGAAAACTGATCTGCAGTCACACTTTGCATTTAATAAACTCAGTCATAGACATATATCAGTGGTTCTCAACCTTTTTTTTCCGCTGGGCCGCACTATGGTCCAAGTGCAAGTCTCACGGGCCGCACGCATATCGTTTACATATTACGTCACCAATACGAACCAACCAGAATTATAATAGCCTATTATAGCCTAAATATTATGATATCTAATCGATTACATTCATTGAAATAAATAAAAATAATAATTATACTCACCATATAAAACACCTGATGCTGTCGGGAGCTGCCCAATTTTGTGAAATTCGGCTCGAAAGGAGTAACGGCACAGTGAAGTTGCGATTGCAAGTTGCAGTCTGTAAGACGCGCACGGAAGCGTGACTTGACGCGCGACATTGCAGAAAATGTGCGTTCACAAATGTAGCCTATGTTGATCCAAATGCGGAAAGCACTTTCGAATTTAATAATCTGAGGTTCTCTCCAGAGATGTTTTGCCACATTTCTGCAATTAAGGATGATTGCTGCATAGTATGGGTGTTTCCTTTTGCCTGAACTAGAGCCCTGCATTTCAGCCCCGACTTTTTTACACCCCTAGGACTGGGCTTCGGGACAATTTTCACGTCATATAGTTAAGACGCGGGCATCGGACTTGTTTTAGGCTTCTCCTTATTTTGATATTTTATTTAGGCATCCATCAATTAGTGATTAACATTTTTTTTTTGCAGCGCTGGTGGAAACAACACGAGACCGTGCTGCCGCGAATGTCAAGAGCGGCTCGACGGTGTTTAGTGTCCAGCAGCAGCATGCATCTGAAGAGCTGAAGAGATCTGTAGCTGAAGAGATTTGCGTTCAAATGCACGCAATAGGCTAAAGCTTGCCGCAAAGCACCGGCAAAAGTAATTACCATGAATGTGTCAGGGGGAAATAGTAAGGAGATATTTGAATTATTTACTAATAAACTAGTATTTTCTGAGTCGGTGTCGCAAGGATGAAATTGTCGAACCTGACTCGCCATCTCCTCAGACGCGCCTTTAGAGAGTAGTGCATCTTTACGGATTATGATTATAATGAAGGAGTTTTTGTTTTTGATTTGTTTTATTTCGTTAAGTAGTAATATAAAGCTTTCTATAGATATATTTATCATGTCTGTGAGGCATGTATTCGCTGAGTTTCGGTTCATTTTTGTGAAGCGCTGTAACGCACATTTATCTAGGTTTATCGTTAAAACATTGTTATATGCTTGAACTATAGATTTTGTTTTAGGCAAGTCGTGATGATTTGAGAAGGCTAAATTGATCAAACATAGGCTATGATCAGCTCACTGTCTGCCGCTGGCCGCTTGGTCTTATTTCAAAAAAACAAAAACTTATATTTAACGACCAAAAAATGCTCCAAACGTTTTTCTAAATTAACTTAATTAAAAAACGAAACGAAATATAATCACTTTGCCATAACATACAAAACGGAACTATTTTAATGAAACGAAATATAATCACTTTGCCATTACATACAAAACTGAACTATTTTAATAGCTGAAACAGTAGTAGGCTATAAGCTGTTTTGGGAGAAGGGGGAAAAAAGACGGGCTCGGGGCTGACTCGGGCCGGTGATTCTGATAAGCTGTCGGACACGGCCTATATTTGAGGCCCGTGCAGTTCTCTAGCCTGAACATCTTCAAGTGAGTGGCGGGGCAAACCGAAAGTAGAAATAAACTTAAAATGACATTTAAGTGTACTTGACTTATACTTGGAGAATCCGTGTTTTCATTGTTACGGTAGGGGGTGCTATTACACATCTTCTGTATTTCCAAAAAAAAAAAAACCACAAGTAAAAAAGAAACCAAAACAACATTAAGTATACTTACAAATATACTTGAACTTTACTTAAGTATACTTAATAAAATAAACTTGGAGTATACTACTTTTGGGTAAGGGACTCTCCTACCTTCACTGCTCCGACTACTCTTGTTTGTATGTGTTCCTTCGCTGGCATTTTCCACATTTCGTTTTTCTCCCTTAATAACAAATGTGTCCATTCTGATGCTCAATTTTACCGAACTAATGGCTGCTGATGACTATTTGAATTGAACTCTGCCAAAGTGCGCGCTTGTACGTGTTCATTAAATGCGTAACGTTACGTGAGTACAGGTCTGTTCATGTCTGAAAATAATATATGAAAAACAAAATTATTTTACATAACAAACATATGATAGTTTATATTTGTTTAGTACATTTTTAAATTAATGTAAAAACTAAAATGAATTGTAAAACTAAAAGTTTTTTTTTTTTTATTGTGTTCAGCATGGTGGGCCGCATTTGAATTCGTGACGGGCCACGGGTTGAGAACCACTGCTCTATATTGTGTTAAAGGGACAGACACAGCAGCATGTTTTAATCTAAGATAAGAAAAAAGTTCAGGATTTGATATAAACACACAACTATAAAGTTTTTTTGTATAATACATCATTTCTATCTCTTTTTTATGAATTACATCTGTTTTGGACAGTTTTAACATGACAGTGCATTTGACTGAATGATTGCAAAACAAGGCAATAAATTAACTGGGTTCATTAGAAACTTTACACAACTCTCAAATAGACAGTTCAGAAAACCACATTGCGTGGAAATCTATCAGCCACACTTCAAGCGCTGCAACTGAAGAACAAGAGAGTAACCGTAAAAAAAAAAAGATCTCTAAAGATTACCCTCTCAAAGAGCATTCAAAGTCACATTTGACATTTTACCACTGAAGGCATCATTATTATAAAAACCTCAATAACTTTAGTCAACTGTGTTTTAGAGTCTAGAAATGTGCTTAATTTGAAATGAACACAACATGAGGGTTACATGGTAAACTTTGTAACGTTGACAGCTGCTTTTAAGACATTTAAATGGAATGTTTCTTGTTTTTTGTCAAAATAGGATGAATTTCACACTCACGTTTTTGAGATAATCAGCCAAGTTTCCAGAGTTCCAGCCCATCACCTCTGACTTGGACGGTACACTTTCAAAACTCATTGTGATTGGATTGGTTGTTTCCCCAATACAGTGGAAATGGACTTCTACAATTGCAGATACTTCTTGCTGTTGAGTTTTTGTTTTAGAATCTATGATGATAGCTATAAAAAAAAGTATACAGCTTTGCTGAAAGTTGCAAGGCACTTTTCTTGCTTGTGGCTAGTTGGTCTAAGACTGAGTGTGATGATACTGTTGACGCAGAATAGCAGGCTCTTAGCTCTCTCTATTTCCTGTAACTTTGTATAGAGGAAGTGCCTCATCACCAAAGATGTGAAAGTCAAGACTTTCAGAGCATGACTTGGACATTATATATTTGTACATAATTGCTCTTTTGAGGTCCTATAAATGTATCAGAAACATACCGTAATAAATCTAGTGTGCATGTTATGAGCAAATTGCATGTTAAAAGCATTGCAAGGGTTACAAAAGTACACTAGTTATAGATCGGACACATCAAAAGCAAATGGTCTCGCATGTTCTTGGCACGAGCAAATAACTAGGCCATGACCGCAAATAAACAATCAGATGACATAGTGCAATGCATACCATCATTGTAGATCAGCACATCCCCAGTGCCTATTCACCTGTTATGCATTGCATTTTCCAAACAAAAAAGGAAATATCCCTTTTGGGAACAATACAGCATGCAGTCTAACACCAAGGTGAGAGTTGAAGGCACTCATCATTCAACCGCAGGCCAGCAGTACTGACAAAGTGAAGTAGCTGCTTCCCCAGGGTGCTTTACATAGGGCTGGCAGCTTGTAGCCAATAAAATGCAGAAGGAACGTTCGTTGTGAATGTTTTAGGTGTTAAAGATAAATTAAAGATGACCACACTTAATTGGGCCACCATTTATGGTCAACCGTATAATCATTGGAGCTAAATGAATTCTTGATTGCCATGATGTTTTTTTTTTTTCAGAATGTGCTTTACAATGTTTCCAAACTTGAGGTTATACATATTTTAGGATATTTAAGAAACCTGAGACCCAAAATATCTAAAAAAAAAAAAAAAATGACAAAGTTTTTTGACAAAGTTGTAAATAAAACAATAAAAGGTAATTGGAGTAAATTTTACAAGACAATACTCTTTCAGTCTTTCTACTTCAAAATTTCACATTTGATTCAGTGTTACTTAATGATTCTCTGTAATAATTTGTGAAATTTACTAGCAATTTCTGAGTGACTAATTCTACACCAATTTTTTTTTCAGTGTAGGAGGCATAGGAGTACAAACCTATCTTGTAAAAGAAAACCTAGTGCCAGAAACCTCTAATGAATGACAAACAAGTCAGGGAGTCAGTACGTAGCTTGAAATAGAGTGTGGCAGTTCTTCTGATGAAGAAACAGCGCATTCCTTGTCTTTGTCATGCGCAAGTGGAATCCTTAAGCTAAAAGGAAATAGGTCTTTTGTGGAGTGGAACAGACTGGGATCACTGTTGGTGCTGAGGTTTTGAAGTGGCTAAACCAAAGGGCTGCACTAGATTACAACCTGATTCTATCCATATGAAAGGTCGGTAAAATAAGAGACAAGGAGGGGATGGAAACGGGGGTCATGGCTGAGATGACAACAACATGGTACTGTATTTGAGGGGATGGCCACTTTGTTCCTTATTCATCACAGCTCAGCAGGGTGGCTTGGGAAAAAAAACATAGCATCCTGAAAGGCAAATAGGTATTCTGTGGTGAGTGAATAGTTTGTTTCTGTTGATTGGAGTACTTTGAATAACATTTCTCTGTATGTTTATATATATATATATATATATATATATGTGTGTGCCTAGGCTACATATATTTTACTTTGATAAAATGTTTGAACTTGGCAATTTTTAACTAGATTTATACGTTTTTTAAGATTTCTCCTTTTCAATATCTGGAATATCCTTATTTGTCCTCATTTGATCCAAATTGTAACAAAAGAAAGCAAAGCAGTTTTCTGTTGATAGGCTTCAAAGTAGCCAAGGGAAGTAAATGAACTCACTGTAACATACAGTATTTTGAGAGTCCCACCCCCTGTCCTCTAAGTCAAGACCCCCCACTGGAGCCAATATCCCATCATTCATCAGGCCAGACAATTTGGCAGATTTATGGCATGTCCCACTGAGTAAATTGACTATGTGTCAAGTAATAGGCAAACCAAGTGAGAAATCTGCTGATAAATTATATAAATACAAATGTCATGATTAGGCCATAACATCCAATTTGGTAAAACATAATCACTCTATGTTGACACACGAAGTAGCCTAGGCCTGGTTTTACAATTTAAATGTGTCCTCAACCTCGTAACGTGACTAATAATGGAATTTAGCTCCTTCCCTTTGATTTATGTACATGCATCGCGGTGACTTCCGCAGGTGTGATTATGTACACCAACACAGCGGTAACGCGGATTAACATGCCAAACACCTTCCAGCGGTGGCGTTTCCTACGGGCTTTGTCTACACTTTTGTCACCCGGGTAGCATACTGGCCATACTGTCCGCATATCAAAGTGCGCTAGACTCTAGGCAAGGGAGGCGCCTAGGACCAAGTGTGACAAAGTTAATCCCTTAAAGAGTATTCATTAAATAAACGCTCTATACTGTAGTACTAATTGAGACCTCTATCATTACTTTTCAAGGTTTTTTGTCTCTCTCTGACGGCGCGTGTCTGGGATACAGCGCTCAAATGACATGTGCAGCATGTGATAGATAGGAACGTAGCAACCATCATAATTGATAATCACTTATTTAATTAGGCTACTTATTTCGTCCCCGATATTCTGTGCAATAATTACATTTAGGAAGTTTGCTTTGCTTAATCACAGACAGCGCAAAGAAAATACTAGTATTTGTTTGTATTGTAACCTTGTTTTAAAACCATGCAAAGCCTCTGCCATCTTTCACCGTCGTTTTGATCTAGGAACGCAGGCAACGGGAGTACAATTTATGGTTGCTGAATTTTCGAAATTTTCTGAGGGAAGACGGGAGCAAAAAGAGAAGTCGACTTTAACTATTGTGAGTTAATGTTAAGTAGAAAAAAAAACCATTTTACACTCAAGTAGCCTAACTTTAAGCGTGTTCTTAATCTTGGTCTTTAAAATTGTTGGTCTTTTTCACAGAAACCCTGAATGACCAGAAATATTTTAAACACCAAGCAACTATGGAAAAAAAGCATGTTCATTCATATCTAAACTAGCCTATATTTAGCATTTTCATTCATATCTAATCTATGTTCATGTTTCTTTCTTCATAATTTATGTTGCCTATTTTGCAATAGATTTCAACTGCATTTTCATATTTATACATTCCTGTTTATATGTTCAACATACAGGAATAGCCACTGTTCATAATTAGGTTATTGAATGATTTGGACTTGTTGATAAACAAAGAATAAACGAGACCACAAGCAATTTCAATTTCTCAGTTTTATTAAAATACTTTAATATATAATCATATACAGAAATGGCAAATATTAATTAAAAAGTGCCGGTGGAGGTGTTCTCGTGAGAAAAGAGTTTGTTGGAGGGTTTGGGGTTATTTTGGTCCTCGAGATCTGCGTCTTTGGTGTCCGTGGCCTCCGTGTCTCCGTGCGCAAACGTGTTTGACAGTGACCTGAGAGCAGTTCTCGCACTTTACTGTGCAGCACCAGTGGAACTTGCAATTGCAGCTACTCACTATCTCTGTGCGCCTCTCCTCCACCCGCAGACCGCACTCATGGCACAGCCTGCGGCAGCTTCTCCTTTCCCACTGCGTGAGACTTTCCCCGTGTTGCACGCACTCCCGACCCTCCGTGCCAGGAAGCCCGAGGCTCAGGTTCTTGGCGCAATAATCCGGCGAATCCTCCAGATATATGAGCTCAGACCGGGCGATGGAGCCGAAAGTGTCTGCCATGGCCACGCGGTTGTCTGCGCTGTTGGCCGCGCGCATTCGTCTCTTGTCCATTTCGAGTTTCTGGGCCTGGTCGTGCTTCACTTTAAGGTAATTGCCAATCTCACGGAAATCAGAAAGCTGCATCCAGCACGTTTGCATTGTGCAACTTTCTGACATACCATGGCACCTACAGATCCTCTTCATGGTAGCCTTTACAGCCTAGAACACGAAGTAGGCTATTGTTAATTTACAGACCTTATGTGTATGTAAGCCTATTCTTTTTAGGTACATATAAACATGTCACAAATATTTTCAAACAACGTCTCATTAACCACAAAAATTAGTTGGCGAAACAAATACAGTTCAGAACAGCACAGTAGTAGAGAATTTATATAAATAAAATTAAATAAACATAACAATAAATAAAAATGGCGCCTCCTAGCGGAGCTGTATGATAGGCTATTTTCGTTTAATTTTTAATACTGGATTTTAGATTCATTTAATACTGTTTATGTCAGATGTTTTTCTTCGTCAAAAAAAGTATTAAAACTTTGATATGAAAAATATTCCTCAACTCAACTAACCAAACGTCCAGCTTCATTATTATGAAGATTAACTGCAGCTCGAGAGTCTTGTCCAGTCTCAAGCGCATCCACATATTGTTTAGAAATTCTCTCGCCAAAATCCACATTGTCGCTACATCCTCCCCAAAGCCAACCACGACCCCCTGAAATGAACAGTTTACCCCATTAGATCAACGTGTCGTGACTGTGTTAAACAGCAAATACTTAACTTTTATTGCATTGTTGATACATAAACAAGGTTGTAGTATCTTCTGTTTAAAATTAGTTTATTAGCATGTGAATATATAGTAATGTTCTTACCGAGTTTGCCGTTTCTCGAACTGTCACATCCGCAGTCGTCCAGATCTCCAAGACTGCAGTTTCTGGTTAAAGTGTACATAACGCCAGCTGCGCTTATTGCGTGGACAAATGACGTCTCCCTCGTTGCTAAAGAAGTTGAGAGAATTAATATGTAATTTTTATTGTTGTTTTACGTTTTTAGAGATAAACAGCTCACATGTATGAGCATATCTTACCACTTCTGAAGCCTTTGTGAGTAGAAAGTTGCAGCGCGCTGTCTGGGCAGTTCCACCTGTCCCAAGCAAACTGATGTTTGCACTCACGTATTCCGCTTTGCGCACCCACCTGCACACTACTGGCATAGGTAAGATAAGCCTATAGGAAGAAGATAAGAGAAAGATATTGAGGATTTTGATGTGATACAAAAAAAATAAAAAATAAAATAAAACAA